CGATAGTTTCTTCGCTCTGTTAACTCGCGGCCAGCAAGATGTACATCTTTCAGTTACCAGAATCAGCAGTCTCCTACCGACAGACAATATTAACTTTTACCATTTAATGCTAAACCTTCAAATTAAAGAGCGTCATATTACGTCAGAAGCGTTACAGAGGTTCTGCCGCCAAAAAGAAACAACCTATAGATCTAAACATGCGAATGCGTATTATATTGTACTTTGCAATCGATACCAGATATTCGGCGGCGGAAAAAACTCTACATCAGACACTGCTTTACTGTTTGCATAAAAATCTGAACACCCTAAGACGCAGCATCAAGTCGCAATGCAAATCGGCACTATAACACTATATTCCAAAGAATTTCAAGAATCTCAGTGACCTTAACCGAGGCTTCGTCTGTTTCGAAAGGGAAAATTTGATCTCAAATAACTTCGGTGTTTGAAGAGGCTGATGCGGTTCAGTTCAGCGACGGAACGGTCCGATAACGTCCCTGTACCAACGTATCTACAGGTTCAGATGGAGTCAGCTTTGTTTGGCCGAAATGTGCATGTTTTACGGTTTCTATTCAACTATCATTTGCCCAACGCATCCATTCACAGTACAAAGAAAACAGCAGGGGTCGTTCCGATGTTTAAATAGAGGTAATTAACTTCAGCCCAACTCGACTTCTTTCGGCCCATCGCTTTAGCTTTCGCTCTCTTGAAATACTTAGAGAGTTCAGTTCTGCCGGTCCTCCAGCTGAATGGCGGAGACACGACTGATCACTGGCAGTTCGCCTGCAGAAGAGGGCTTGGAACCATCGACATGCTTGACCGCGTTGCGAAAAAAATTGCCAGTGAATAGGACAAAGGCGGATTAATTGCAATGGCTGCACTCTTCGATCTGTTCTCCGGCGTCAATACCATTTCGCACCACAGCTTGCTGTTTAATCATTGTGCAACTTCCTCGAACAAGTAGATTTTTTGGTGGCTTGCCAATTTTCTGTCCCACCGTCACTGGTTCGTACGGTTTTACTGTTATAAACCAGATATACTGCAGAGTGCTTTGGTATAGTCCAGAGATCGGTGTTGTTATGTTTGCTATTCAATGTTCAACGAAATATATCGTTTGTGATGATTACCTTATATATATATTTAACAATGCGGGCGACAAAGATCCCTAGGATCCCTGAAATCGACTGATGACTGAAATAGTTATAAGAACAGCGTCCACATTATTTCTCTTGAAATGGTCTCATTCAAAATCCAGAGGAGATAAGGAAGTTGATCTATGTAACGCGAGGCATCAAAAGGAGGCACGACATCAGCTTTTCAGAGATATTCAATATTTATAATCAGCCGATATTCCATGTACAGCATACCAATTACCCTGGCGAGATTCTTTCATCCTACCTCACCTAGTATGAGCATGTCCAAAATGTAACAAAGCGTTGTTGTAGGCCTCTTTTAACGCCAAAAGACTCAGATTTACTTTAAACGCCACCAGAGGACGTTGAGGACTACTGTCTTGTGTTGTCTTCGCGTGCATCATTTTCCTATTGCCGGCTGCAAGTGTTTCATTCCAAGATCATCAGGAATTCACTAAATTTGGCTTCACAGTGGCCTGTCATACAGAAATATTGCTGTTTGCAGCTGAACGTTCTGTCGCATAAGGTGCACAAATGGCAAAATAATTTTGGATGACGCAACTCATCCATTTCATGTCAGCCTTCTCGGCGTCAGTCACGAAGGTGCATCCACCAGATCATCCTACTTCCGTCTATGTTCTCGAACCGAATTGTACAGATCAATTGTCCCAGCTTCAGCGCCAACCCTCAGAGACCCTGAGGCCGTCCTTAACACTAGTTGACCATGTTGCTTTAGTGTTGACTCATTTGTAATTTTCATTGTGACATTTTCATGGTCTCTTCCAGCCATTGTATACATCGTTTTATTCATTACCAATTATTTAATGCTACTTATTTGTTCCGTTTTGACTACATTGAAAAATGGGTCCCTTTAAAGCACAAGTGTAACACATTTTACTGACTGTCACGCTGAATAAGCAATGATCAGGTTTGTCAAGGCGACTCGCAGTCGTAGGAGGCGCTTGAGTCAAGCAGCATGGCCGCAGCTATCGTCCATTCTAAAGTCCACAGCAGAGAACACCATGCTGCGTATTATTTGCAAGTCACATAGCTACGGCAGAACACATGTCAAATTCCGTACTGAAGAGAACTAGTTGTCATGACAAAGCTCCCCTTCCCAGAATTCGAACCGTGCATCTCTGGAGTTCGAAGCACACCTCCTTACCATTGTGCCCAGAATCCTGCAGGTCAGGTTCAGGAATCACTCTTCGCTTACGTGTAGGCTTTTACGGAGGAATGCGATGGAAAACGATTAGTGTCAGTTCATGCCGGTGCGGAATGAGCCTCGAAGTGATTTAAGTCTACTTTGGCACTGATGGATTGGCATTCTCGACGGTGACATGTATAAATAAGCCACTTTCGTGCTGTTTTCATGGCAGTAACGTTCAGAATCAACTCTTTTCCCAGTGTAAGCACAAGAAACGTTTGGAACGAACGCAAAGTTTAACTCTCGTTTGTTGTATGGTGTGACTCTTTGTAAACGTGTACGACTTAACGTTTGTAGTCATATCACGTATGCAGTTTTACAAATTTTTCGGCAATTAAAAGTTGAATTTCGGCACTTTCATAAATGTGGTTAAGAAACAATCAGAACTTCTGATCAGGTGCATTTCCAGGCCTGGAGAATAATTATCATACAGCTTACAGCCACTTCAAAGTAGAAAGTGTGGTAGGAGGCGCAGTACCACACCAATCTTCGGTGACAACACAACTGCGGAGTTGGGAACCGAACCATGGCCAATGAAAGGTGAGTGACCAGCATATCACTTGGCAGAAAAATCTAAATCGAGGTCTGGTGTCGAGGAGGAACTTTGGAGGTTTGCAAGGCCCTTCAAGTTGATGATGACAACACACACACAGAAGCACAGAGCTGTATTTTTCAATACCCACGTATACAAGGCCACTTCCTTGATGGCAAGCGAGCGAAATGCGTTTATTTTGTTTCCGAATTGCCAGCTGCCCTGTCAGAGACCCCCCGTAAATAGGCAAAATCGGCCAAGCACGAAGTTTCGCGATCATGTAGTCGATTGACCTTGTGATTTATTGCATTTCTGCGGCCTACGAGTGATGCCTGGCGACGAGCTTTCAAAAAGGCGGGCAGCTGAAGCGGCAGCCAGATTCGCTTCGTCAATTGTTTGCCGACGTTGACGGATTGCAAGTGTGTCACAAGATGAAAAAGGCTGCGAAATCACTCGTTTCTCTGAGCAAGCAAAGCTCGTTGTTTCTGCAAATCACTAGCTCTATAGAATATGTTTAAGATCACTCGGAACGCACTGTTAATTGCTTTGCTCCAGACAACC